AGCGAAGTACTGTCTACCACGGCGAAGTTAAGAGTACTGTCTATGTCTTGCAATATGATATCTTTCACGACCAGTCGTGGCGTCTCAAATGGTGCCTTATCAAGACAGTAATGAATGTGTAGTAACAGGTAGTCACGTAAATTTGAGGAATTTTTATACCCCTGGATGGACAAGTTAAGGGCAGTCATTTGTATTTATTTTTGATGAAAGCATGATCATTTTATTATTTTATTGCATCGCGATATCGAATATAGCGATTGTTGACATGAATCAGTGTTATGGTATAAGTTCGTTCTCTCTAAAGGTCCATGGAGCCATTTATGTCTTTGGCATTCCATGCTATTTGAGCGTCAACAGTGCTCTTAGCTTAATTGTGTTGTTTGCTGCGATAATTTGCTTAATAGCAGTAAATCGTTTATGAACCTTATTGTTCTTATGCTCTGAGCGCAGCGTGGAGACTTGAGTTATACTATGTAAAAGAAATAACATTTAGTGCATTGAACTGCTCCTTTTTTCGCCTACTTAACTTATCCACAATATTGTGCTGTGTTTGTAATATGCTTTTTTCTTGCTCACTTGCTTACGTACGTTTGTCTTTGGTTGCCTATTAACTTCCTCATGTATTTGTCTTTTGCGTATATTAATATTTGTTTTCGTACTTGTGTGCATATTTCATGAATCATTTGACTGCTTACTTTTCATTTGCATCATTATTGTTTCACATTTACTTGCTTATTTAATTATTGACTTATCTGTTATTAGACAGCGCTGTTTGTCTACAACTATTAGACAAGTAAAATTCCAACTCGTTTGAGACTGGGTTACAGCTGGCATCGAATATGAGGTGAATTAGAGGTCTGTTTTAATATCAATATTTTTGCCAGGCAAATAGTAGACCTGTCTTTTTCATAGTTAATTATTCTACGTCGTGAATATTTAATTGAGGTTTGCATTCACGATTGTGAGGTATCGAATCAGTCATGAAGTGCCACTTGTTCTGATCGGCTTATTATATGTTGATATCTTATTAGATACGCAAGTCGGGTAGGACGCTTGGTATTGGCGGATAGAGTGACGGCGTTGGCAGAGTCTAAAGTTCGAATGGAGGAAGAACGCCAATTCGAGTCGAATGCGGCTCGACTCACCAAGGCCGCTTCAGTACAGAGTAATCAGTCGAATTCATTGCCTTCTGTTTCACAAAAGCCATCGCAAGACGTGCCTTCGGCGGCCAAAACAAATGGGCACAGCCAAAGGGGATCAGTAAATAACGGCGTTTCTTCGCCAGCTGATCTGCCTTCGACTTCTACCAGTGGTCCGCCTCGAAATCCGTTTAAGGTAACTCTACTTCTTTGAAATACATTACTTTTTTTGTGTCAAAACATTTGTGGTTGCAAGAGTAATTCATGCTCGATAGAATTTAAACCGTAAACCTTCCTTGTGTCTAATGTCCAATGGATTGGAAGGCTTTTTTTCTAACAGTGAGGACATATCTGTTGAATGTTGAAGGACAGAATGGGTCACGAGAGTTTAACACCAAACCAGCGTTTAAGAAATGAGGAAAATTTGCCATCTTTC